ACTGGGATGGACTGGGAGGGGATTGGGGGTTACTGGGATGAACTGGGAGGGATTTTGGGGTTACTGGGATGGACTGGGAGGGATTTTGGGGTTACTGGGATGGACTGGTCTCTCCCAGTTCATCCCAGTCTGACCAGTTTCCCGCAGGTTTCAGCCCCCGGGGGGGACGCGGCGGCTTCCGGGGCCGAGGTGAGTCCCAGTATGGACCAGTATGAACCAGTATGAACCAGTACAGACCAGTAACCCCAGCCCTGTCCATATTGGGAGCCACAAAACCCTCCCAGTTTGGCCCAGTTCCCTCCCAGTAACAGTCCCAGTCCCCTCCCAGTATCTCCCAGTCCATTCCCAGTCCATCCCAGTTCCCATTCCCAGTCCATCCCAGTATCCCCATTTCCCCATTCCCAGTCCATCCCAGTCTAACCCAGTATCCCCAGTTCCCATCCCAGTATCTCCCAGTCTAACCCAGTTTCCTCTCCCAGTCCATCCCAGTCCATTCCCAGTCCCTCCCAGTCCATCCCAGTATCCCCAATTCCCATTCCCAGTCCCTCCCAGTTTCCCCGTTTCCCCATTCCCAGTATCTCCCAGTCTCTCCCAGTCTCTCCCAGTCCATTCCCAGTCTCTCCCAGTCCATCCCAGTCCATCCCTAGTCCATTCCCAGTCTCTCCCAGTCCATCCCAGTCCATCCCTAGTCCATTCCCAGTCTCTCCCAGTCCATCCCAGTATCCCCAGTCCCCATTTCCCCATTCCCAGTCTCTCCCAGTATATCCCAGTCTAACCCAGTTTCCCCATTTTCCCATTCCCAGTATAACCCAGTATCCCTAGTCCATTCCCAGTCCATCCCAGTCCCTCCCAGTATCCCCAGTTCCCACTCCCAGTCCATTCCCAGTCCCTCCCAGTTGCCCCATTTCCCCATTCCCAGTCTCTCCCAGTATCCCCAGTTCCCCATTCCCAGTCTCTCCCAGTCCATCCCAGTATCCCCAGTTCCCCATTCCCAGTCCATCCCAGTCCATCCCAGTCCATTCCCAGTATCTCCCAGTCCATTCCCAGTCCCTCCCAGTCCATCCCAGTCCATTCCCAGTATCTCCCAGTCCAGTCCCAGTCCATCCCAGTCCATTCCCAGTATTTCCCAGTCCATCCCAGTCTAACCCAGTTTCCCCCGCAGGTTCCGGTTTCAGCCCCCGCGGAGGGGGCGGGGCCAGAGGAGGGGGCGTGGCCCGCGGAGGGGGCGGGGCCCGCGGCGGCCCCAGGGGGCG